ATCTGATTTACATTTTACAGGCTCACTCATGCTGCTCTGTTGAAACTAGCCTTAAGCGGGAAAAGGGCAAAAGCAGGGAACCAGTTAGGAGGTTAGTGCAATAACCCAAGTAAGACCATACTGTCTTGAACCACTAGCAGCAGCAAACGTATGAGAAGTGTTTTCATTCCAGATACATTTGAAGCTAGAAGCAACACGATTTCCTGATGGAGTGCCTGGGGGATGTGCAGTAATGAGATGTTCTAAAACACTCCAGGTCTTTTGTTCTGGAGAACCGGGAATAATAGGAAGTGTCAGGAGTTTTGATTTTGGACATGCTAAGTTTGAGATACCTATTAGGCATCCAAGTGGAGAGATGATGTTGGCAGTCAGATATACAATTCTGGGATTTAGAGAAGTCCGGGCTGGAGATTAACATGTGTGAGTCAGCTGCCTAGAAAAGGTAAAGCCATGAGGAAGCATAAGCAAGTCAGTGAGTGTAGATACAGAGTAGGAAAGGTTTTTGTTGAATAAATGAAAAGTTGACTCTTTGATGTATGTTTTACATATATGTGTGTTATAATCTTCTATTAACTGAACTTCAACTTAGGTTTGTGGGAAGGGTATTAATCCTGTAGCGACTTATGCCACTAATTAGCGCTCATAAATATGTTTTATGTGACACCTCGCATTCATCCCTCAAAGATGGGTCCAAAAAGTCCCATCTTCAAACAGCCTGTGTATCTGCCCCACAACCTTCAACTTCCCCTTATTGACAAGCTGCAGAAAAAGAGGAGATAAATGTTGATGCCAGTGTTTGGTGAGGACCCTCTGTTTCAGAGCCTTTAGCTAGGTGCTCTCAGAGTGACAGGAAACCTCCATGACATGAGAGACATGCGCAGGCAAAGTGGGTAGATTACAGAGGTGCTCCATGGCACACTGTGGGGACGTGGGCTATAGAGCATCAGCTTAGGTACCACTGTAAGACCCCATGGCAAATACTAAGTGTGGTACCTTGAGTAAATCAATCATCCAATTAAAACCTACATTTAAATTTCATTTGACTCAATTCCATCAGCAGCAAGTGGATTTCAGCAAGAGCATCGCCAAGGAACCGCAAATGGTGAGGCTGCAGGAGTGATGGTTAGAAGCGCTGGAGAATTCTGGATTTGTCAGAGGAACAAGCATACAGTTTTTGGAGGCAGGGCTGTAAGAATCATGAAACTTTACAGAATATGGTGATAAAATTTGTTTCTCAACTGCACAGGACATGAAGGCAGAGGCATGGATATGCATTTATGCTTTAAATTATTAAATGAAATAATTATCTAGCTAAGATTGAATTGATGGTTTTATTGTTTAATTATTCTGAAGACAAAAAAAATGAATGAGCAACTTTTGATTTAATAATATTTAATAGTTTGGAAGTGTGAGAAACAGGTCCAAATATCCAATTTCAGGACTTCCCTGGTGGTCCAGTGGATAAGACTCCACGCTCCCAAGGCAGGGGGGCTCAGGTTCAATCCCAGCTCGGGGAAATAGATCCCACATGCATGCTGCAAGTAAGAGTCTGCATGCCGCAACTAAGAAGTCCACATGCCACAACTAAAAAGATCCTGTGTGTCTCAACTAAGGCCCGGCGCAGCCAAAATAAAATAAATAAATAAATATTTTTAAAAATTGTCCAGTTTTGATAAAGAGATAAGTCAACAGTGAAGAGCTACTATGTGCCACGTCTTCAGTTGTGTTCTTTCCCAAGTGAGTAATCTCAAGATTAAGACCACTTTGCCTATATGCCCAGTATTGAAGATGAATCCTTGTTTCAAAATGGTCGTCTATTAATTTTGCACTATGCCTGGTGACTACAGGGGAATGATCTGAAATTCATTTTCTACAAAGTTAAACTTAAAAAATGTGGGGAAAGCCTGGACATTTTAATTCTTTGCACCTTTATTTCTTTTTTAAAAAACAGACATTTGTTTCCTACTTCAGCAAAAACAAAGGAGGATTGAACTTGACTGATAACCTAAATGGAAATTTTTAAGAGGCATTGTAGGAAGAAAAGAAGAAAATAACTTGCCAGGTATGATTACTGGATAACAGATAATACCTTTTTATTTACATTTAGCTGACCAAAAAGATAGGCAAGTATTTTTTTAAAAAAATCTCAAGACAGAAGATGCTATGTTTAAATAACAGGTACATGATTTCTCCAGACACATCCATTCTCAGCCCCAGACAAGGTCTCTCGATGCATCCAGCATGCTTTTTCTAAATGAAAATTCTTATATACAAGTCCTTGGACCAGAGAAGCTTCCTTGGGAACTATTTTTTCTTATGGGCATTTTACAGTGATGTTGGTATAACCAAATTTCTACTAAGAATTTAACTTTACGCTTAGTTGGGTAATACAATGAAATATCTAGCTCACTTTCTTTATAATCTAACTAACTGCCTCAATCCACCTGTGAAACATCAGATCTTCCCCAAATGCTCTGTGTATAAGGGGGACACGTTACTCCTTAAGCAGTACTTTACATGTGTGCATTCTTCACTGTAGTGTACAAAATGACTCTTCAGAATATGTACAGCACTTTTTTAAAGTGTTGACTTTTTCTCTCTTTTCCAAAACAGCCAATTCTTGATTAACCATGTCCCACACAACCACCTTCAACCCTGGGATGTTAGCAAAGCTGTAACTAGGGACTCGATTCCTCCCGATTACACACATTCTTGGACTACTTCTATCAACCACAATAATATGGGCTCAAAACTAGACAAATTCTCCAAGTTTAATTAAGATTATCCAAACAAAAACACCGGGGAAAGAAATCTGCTGGTCTCCTTTCCAAATATAGTGCATCCCAAACTAAAATATAAAAGTTTTAGTTTAATAATGTACATAAAAGTGTTTGTTCAAGTATAAATGACAAGCTTGATTTTAAAGGAAATCACCCTCTGGTGGCCTAGCTGGAGGAAGAAAAAAAAAAGAAAGAAAGAAAATCATCCCCATCATATGTACATAATTGCATTCTAAAGCAATCTTGGGGACCTTGCACAGTGTTTGGGGTCACATGTCACTGCTCTACTCCAGGAACATGGCCACATGAAAGCAGATTGTAACTCATGAGATTATTATACACTGAGATTTTTGCATATAAGGTACTTCATGAGGCAGAATGGCAAAAAGGACATTTAAATGCAGAACTTATATTCATCTACAGGAATAATATTTCCCAGTTGTGAACTAATTACTATACTTGGAAAATGCTAGCATCCTCATAAATATTTTGGTTAAATTATGGTGCAAAACCTGAATTTTGCAAACTTTAAAAAGGCACATTTTTGTGACATCTCCTAAGCATTTCTCTGAGACCGTAAGGAATGCTATTAACTTCATGAAACATTTCACTCCCTAGAAGAGTCTTCACCAAGAAGATACCTCAGAGGTACAGACTTCCTGAGGACTGTAAGAAAAATCTGTGGGTTCATAAGTGGAGGAAAAAAACAACTATGAAATGTAGAACCAGCTGAGAACTCACCGTGAGGAACGGATGAAGTGTGATAGGCTTGCTCCCGGCCGAAAATATTACTGTCCTTCTATAAACTGCTGGAATGCTTTTTTCACTTTACTGTGGAACATTGCCATTTCTGCAAATGGGTTCCAAGGCACGCCCTTGTAAAAATGCAGCTGCAGGGCTTCCCTGGTGACGCAGTGGTTGAGAGTCCGCCTGCCTATGCAGGCGACGCGGGTTTGTGCCCCGGTCCGGGAAGATCTCACATGCCGCGGAGTGGCTGGGCCCGTGAGCCATGGCCGCTGAGCCTGCGCGTCCGGAGCCTGTGCTCCGCAATGGGAGAGGTCACAACAGTGAGAGGCCCGCACACCGTAAAAAAAAAAAAAAAAATGCAGCTGCAGCCCTGCGTGGTAACTGCACGAGGCAGGTATGGATGCGTTCCAGATGTGGGGAAGATGATCACAGTCATTCTTTCTGGGAAAGAGTATGAACCAACTGCTTTCTCTTTAAACATCACAAGATATCAGCTCTACTAAGAAAACTGATTGGTAGCAGTAGAAAGGAGGGTGATTTGGGAATATGAAGAACCCCGGGAGGTGGGGCAGACTAAGAGGAAGCCTCTGAGTCAGGAGAGGAGGCCAGCAAACATCACAGGTTTAATGGACCCCAAGGGCATTAGGGGATAGAGAGGGCTGCAAAAATTGAAGCAAGAAAGACCTTGTTCTTAGGAAAGGAGGTGGAAATTTACATTTTCCTCCGTTCAAACTGTTGACACTACCCTGTTGCCACGATCCAAAACTCAGGCAAGTTCCTTGAGTATTAAAGGACAGCTATGTTAGGGTTTAGCCTTCCTCAGAAGGCTTGGCCTCGTAACCCATAGTAGCATGATATTGTTTCTGTGGGAAAAGTGTTTCAAAGTATAAGCCAGTTGTTTGGAACATGATAGAGAATCTCTTCATAAGATTACTCACTTCTGGGCAATTCTTTATGTGCATTCTCAGTTTTAGAATGTAATCAACGTGCTTTGAATCTCCAAAATATATTCTATGGTGTATAGAAAACAAATGAACCTTTTATAAGGAATTAAAAAATGCCCAACATTGGGCTTCCCTGGTGGCGCAGTGGTTGAGAGTCCGCCTGCCGATGCAGGGGACGCGGGTTCGATGCAGGGGACGCGGGTTGGTGCGCCGGTCCGGGAAGATCCCACATCCGCGGAGCGGCTGGGCCCGTGAGCCATGGCCGCTGAGCCTGTGCGTCCAGAGCCTGTGCTCCGCAACGGGAGAGGCCACAACAGAGAGAGGCCCGCGTACCACACACACAAAAAAAGCCCAACATTTGTGAAACTTTTGTACCGTACATTCATATACAGCAATACTCCCTACTGACATTTATTACTTAAATGATACTAGGTGCTGCAGAATAAATGTCTCTGTTTCATACATATGGCAAATCCAATAATCTATCACTTCGATAAACCATTCCATTAGTAGGGAATAACTACAAATATTCTATATGCAAGTGCTTTATAGCATTCTGGAAATACAATCAAGAGGAAATGCTTTAGGGCTACACATTAAGGCTACCTTGGTTATTTAAAATGTGTATAAGCAACAAGGGCACTTTTGCAAAAGATAGTATAAATTAAACAGTATCTCCATCTTAGGAAAAGAGAAGCTATTACAAGCCAACTGCACATCGAAAATGGTATCTTACAACTTCCTGCTATTATTCTAATGCAGGACAGATTATTGCTCACAACTGCACATTTCAGAACACAAAGAAATTTTCATATTTTTGTTACCTTTTAAGCAAGGTGACATCAGAATAAAAACTTTTAAAATTAAGCTTTTCTTTTCTGTTAAAAGTAAAATTTATTACAATACAGTAAGTGTAAGTGTTATTAAAAATGCTGGTTAAAATTATAAAGTGTCTATATAATTTTTCTAATATAAATGTTGGAAATAACTTTAACAGTTCTATACGTACATAGTACACTGAAAACATAAAATCATGCATAAGGCTGAAATATCACTTTGCATATTATCCTTTTAGGTATCACTCTTGTCTTCTGCTCCCAGGATCATTCCAGAATATGAAGGGGTTACAAACTTCAAGCTTTCAGTGTTTTGAATGTATGTCTGTTATCACACATTAACAATGCTTTAAAATCACTGCTTACATTCTAATCACGTGGTTCTAGTTCCCATATTTCCCTTTCTCGATAGGCCTTGGACAAAAAGTTGAGCTAGAAAACCTGTGATCACAGGACCCAGCATGACATGAATTCTCAATGATTCATTTAAAAGTGGCATAAAGTGTTTATATATATATATATATATATATATATATATATTTTAAAAGTCCTACAGGACATGAAAGACAAGTACATCACATGTAAATAAAATTAAGCAGCTCACCCTCTGCTTGCTTACTTGGCTCCACGTCTCTATAGAAAGGAGAAGCCGAGCCATGAAGAAGACAGGGCAAATCAGAACTGCTGGGAGTGCGTGTGTTTGGCGGGGCTGGTGAAGGTGGGTGGGCAGCAGCACAGGGAAGGAACTGGGGAGAAATGTCAGATTATGAAGGGAAATGAAACAGCGTTACTTATCCATTCTTCCCCATCTTGCTAAAGCAGGGGCCGGTTCCAGCCCAGCCTCCCTCCCCTGCCTCCCAGTGAGGGATCTGTCCCCCCAGCACTGTGAAGGCAGCCACTGCCTTTCAGACAATGAGAAGCCATAGCTGTTGCCTACTGAGAACACTTCACAAATGTGAGGAACAGCCTATAAAGTATAGGTTTGGACATTTCATGAATTCCAAGGACAGGCTGAAGGAGGCCTCAACACGAGGGGCAGGGGAAACAGTTTTTACAAGCAGCTAACGCCCAGAGAGGCTAAGGGGTTCAGTCAAGGGGAAGGCAATGCTTCTTCCTTCATGACAGCGCTTCTCAGACTTTAACGTGCCTGCGATTCACTTGGGGTCTCATCAGAATGTATCAGGTTGAGGATGGGGCCCCAGACGCTGCATTGGTAATAAGCTCCTATGGACCACGCTTCGAGATGCTGATGCTCTTGGTCTATGGACCACACTTGGAGAAGCAAGAGTCTGCAACATAAAGAGGGAGCCGCCTCTGTCTCTCTGGGCCACAGGCATATCTTGGAAGTCCTGGGCAGAGCTAAAACAGCCCCAGTGCTACGTGCCCACTCAAGCACATCCCCGGGCCAAAGGTGGAGATGCAGCACACTGAGTGAGCAACTGTCTACAAGACTGAGTTAACATATTTTCTGAGAGCACCATGACTCTATGAAAAGCTAAACAAATAACATAATTCAACTTGAGTAAATGGAGAGGTCTACTGGCTGGGAATAAAACTAACCTTTTCCCCATGTAGTCCTCCTTAAAGTGAACATGATTACAAAGGTATAAAGAAACAGTATATTAAATTTCATAGTAAAAGGCCACATGTGCACACATATACATACAGTATGAATTCTAAGAAATTAAATGCATTTAGTCAGAATAGAGCACGTGCTACCACTGCTCCCAGCTAAAATCATCTCCTCTTCCAAATACAAGGAAAAAACCTTGAATTGTAAGGAAAATCACTGCATTGCCTGCCAGCACCAGGCCACAGGCTCCCCACTTGATCTGAAACACAAAAAAAGAGGATTAAATCTTTACTTTCTTTATACTGTATTCTTTGCAAATCTGTTATTTCCTGCCTTAGAAACATCCAATGAAATATTACATAAAACTGCTAAAAGGCTTAATAATCTAATAGACAGGAGAGAGTGAACTGTTCAGTAATTAGTCTAATTACTTCGTGATGCTTATTAATTAAGTCTGGTATCATCCTTAACGTTTTCCCCATTAGACATAATTCTATACTTGTTTTCAGTAGACAATGACTGCCTTAAGTAAAATACATGAAGCAAGATTACAAAGGGTCCAATTACAAGATTGGGTACTCAGTTCTGTATGTATTGCCTTCTTTCATGAAAATAGGAATTGGAGAGTTACAGATTGATTTGTTTCTTTTCTAGGCAAGAAAAGGTTTTAAATAATACTCTGCATGCAAATAAAAAGAGCTTTCCAGCAGGGCAGATAGCTTTCCAGAGGCACAGTTGGGGATGAGAGTACCCTCTAGTGGGCATTTTTTGTTTTAATTTAACAAATAGAAAACATCAATGAAAGTTTCCTCATAAAACGTGATGCAGTATTTGAAAGGTAAAAATAGAAATCTTTAGGGCAAAATTTAAGAAGTACTAGTCTAAGGCACAAGAAGAATAAGATAATGAAAATATGACATCTAAAACCTTCCATGCAGACTTCCCTGATGCCGCAGTGGTTAAGAATCTTGCCTGCCAACGCAGGGACGGGTTCGATCCCTGGTCCAGGAAGATACCACATGCCGCGGAGCAACCGAGCCTGTGCACCACAACTACTGAAGCCCATGTGCCGCAACTACTGAGCCCACGTGCTGCAACTACTGAAGCCCGCGCTCCTAGAGCCCGTGCTCTGCAACAAGAGAAGCCACTGCAATGAGAAGCCCATGCACTGCAATGAAGAGTGGCCCCTGCTGGCCGCAACTAGAGAAAAGCCTACGTGCAGCAACGAAGACCCAACACAGCCAAAAATAAATTTTAAAAAAACAAAAAACAAAAGACTTCCACGCTTCTGTTATCTAGACAGAGTTCAAACTGGCCTGGCATTCCAGACCCTTCCCAGTCAGGCTTCCCCAGCCTTTCTATCCTCAATCTCAACCACTCGCTTTTTGCTCCATCATATTGGACTGCTCTTTATTCCACATACTGCATTTTTGCACTTGGATGCCATTCCATACAATAGCCTTCCCTACTTTACACAAAACATTATTGCTCCTTAGAGGCCACATCAAATGCCAGTTGTAATTTCTCTCTTCTCGGTGCTCCTATGGCATTCTGATCATGTTTTAATGACCACGCTTGGTATATTTATAGTACACTTGCCCATCAGGCAAGTTTCTGTGCTCTTTGAGAACAGAGACAGTATCTGGTTCTTATTCTTAGTGTCCTATAAATAGCCTATGCTCCAAAGATGTTTACTGCATGAATAAATAACACTTGTGCAGATCTGATATTCAATGCCCCAAGTAAGAGTTTCATAAAGTTGAAACAGTATGTAATTGGGGGAAATAAAAGCAAATAGTATGAAAGACAGTGAATGTCAAAGAACTGAATAAATTATACCCATAATGTGTATTTCAGAGACAAAAAGAAAAATTTTATATTTGATATCGATGAAATAAAGTGCATATTTTATGTCAAGACAAGAAGAAATTAAACATAAAATTTTTCTCTGCCTGTTTGGGCCTCCTCCCTCCCCTTCAGTGTGTACTGTGCATTTGCATTAACCAGACTTCCTTTGGAGATAATTTTCCTTTTTAATCTCATAAAGGGTCACAACTGCTTAGGAGATAACCTTCCTTCTTAATCCTGTAAGGGGCCACGATTACCCATGACCCACTACTTACTTTATACATGCCAATCTGGATTGCATAAACTGTCAATAGTATGTCATTTGATATATAACCATTTGTCTCTAAAACTTATGTAACTGTGCTTTGATCTCTAACATGTGGAACAGTCGTCTCCTGGGTTATAATCCTCAGGTCGGCTCAAATAAAATTTTCCATTTCTTTTTTAGGTCGATGATTGATTAGTTTTTTTCTTCAACAATATGAAGATGTCATCTTATTCACTGTATCGTCTAGTAGCTGTACAGTTGTCCCTCAATATATGCCTATTGTGTTGAGGACTGTGTCTATGATCCCATTTGCAGGAGAAGAATTTGGTATGTTGTGATTTATAATAAGAATTTGGTCTTTGTCCCCATTTCTTGCACAGAGCTTCTAAAACCCTTGGAATTTCCTAAGTGATGAGAGTGGTAAAGGTGACTTTTTTTATGTGAATGAGGTAACTTTGGAAAGCACCTAAGGATGGAAGCCGGTTGCAGGAGGAGACAACCATGTGACTAGACAGTTAGAACTTTCAGTCCCACCCCCAACCTCCAGGGACAGGGGGCTAGGGGGCTGGAGGTTGACTCAATCTCCAATAGCCAATGGTTTGATCCATCATGCCTGTGTAACGAAGTCTTCATAAAAACTCAAACGGATAGGATTCGGAGAACTTCCAGGTTGATGATTTGCTGCTCTGGGGAAAGTGGTACCCTCAGAGAGGTCATGGGAGCTCCATGGTCTTTCCCCACACCTTGCCCTATGCATCTCTACCATCTGGCTGCTTCTCAGTTATATCCTTTTACAACAAACTGGGAATCCAGTGAGTAAATGTGTTCCCTGAGTTCTAACAAATTAATCGAACCCAAGGAGGGGGCCATGGGAATCCCTGATTTATAGCCAGTCAGTCAGAAGCACACGTAACAAGCTGGACCTGTGACTGGCGTCTGAAGAGGGAGGCAGTCTTGCGGGACTGAGCCCTGAACCAGTGGAATCTGCTGTTATCTCTAGGTAGACAGAGTCAGAATTGAGCACAACTGTAGGACACCCAGCTGGTGTGTAAGACTTGCTCCTCAGTGGTGCGGGGAACAACCCCCCGAACCACACACACACACACACTCACACTCACACACACACACACTCACACACACACACACTCACACACACACACATTGGAATTAGGTGATCAGGACCCCTTTTGATGTTGACTTTGGAACTAGCAGAGTATTGCTATAGTAGTCTCTGGATGGCCCTACAATAAAAGGTAAGGATTTCAGAACAATTCTAGAAAATAGCTTACAGTAGAAAAAGCAAGAAATCACTTGGTCTGGCTAAAAGTTGTAAGAGAAACAAAGAAAGCATTCTGCAAACATGGGCAAGATACTGACAGGTGGCTCTAAAGTGGGGGAATAGAGAAACTAAAAATATGCCTGGCCTTGAGGCTTAAGTCAGAGCAGGGGAAATGAAATTTGTGGTTCCAGACGCAGGCCTATGGAGTAAACTCAGCAATAACTGGGCAAAACAATAGACAACAAAACTTACCACGGCCACACGAGCAAGAATAACAGGAAATCCAAAGGCAGAAACAACAATTCCGGTAGTGAAAAAATAAGCCAGTTCCCGACAGGCACTACTTGTTGCATCGGAGTCATATGTTGCTCGTTTGGCAATGAAATAGGGGATGGGAGAGATGGCATGGAATATCAGGACAAACAAGGGCCAGTAAACACTGTTGGTTGCACCCAGAAGAAACCCAAAAGGAAAAGTTACAGTTACATCATAATTAAAGATATATTGCTGTTTCAAAGTTAATATTACTTTAAATGTCTAGGTCAACAATTATTTTCATTTGTCACTATTAATACATGAGATGATTTCTACCAGGAACAGTTAAGAAGTAGCCATCATTAAAAATTACTAGTCCATTAATCTGTAGATAACTTATATTGTGTTAAGAAACAACTACACAATGTAAAATCTAGAATCTTTATTGTTTTCTGTATTATTGAGCTGTCATTTCTTTAGGGACAGAATCTTAACTCAGTCATCTTTGCTTTCCCTATAGAACATAGCACAGTGCCTTGCACATGCTAATTCAATAGAGATCTTTTGAATGCACGCAGGTGGAAACTTTCGCTTGCTTGGAATAAGACCCAGATTCCTTGCCCTGGCCTACAAAGCCTCACATGATTTGGCCAATTTCTTCCATTCATTCTGTGTCATCTTCCCTTCATTCGCTCAATCTGTAGCCACACCAGCCTTTCTGTTCCTTAAACACTCCCTCTGCCTGAATGCCCTCCCCTGACTCATCAAGCCTGCTAAGCTTATTTATCCACCAAGTCTCAGCTTAAAGACAACCTCTTCCATGCAGCCCTCCCTGACTCTCCCAGGGAAACTCAGATTTACCTTCTCAAAGCTCTCACTGTACTTTGTACACTCTCTACTAGAGCTGTCAGCTTACTGACTGGACTGTTTACCTGTCTCTCACTCATAACTAGAACTGTAAACTCCTTGAGGACAGGACTGTGTCTCTTCATTCTTGTGTCACCAGCTGGTCCAGAGGAGGTTTTCAATAAATGCTCATTAAATGAATACATCAATTTTAAACAGAGCTTTGGTCTGCACAAATACAAGTGACCCAGGAAGGGACTGGGTTCATAATTTGGACTTCATTAACTCATCGGTTAGAGCTTGGTGCTAAACTGACCAAACTCCCTAATACCCATACTAACAGTGACAAAGACACACAAAAAATAGTTCTTTTGGAAATGATAACTTACCCATAATCCTCTAAGGCACATCCCAGCATAAGAAAAGTCAGCCCAATAGCCCCACTGAAGGATAATGCCACAAGAGCTGTGAAAAATAAAACCGAGAGTTATAGGTCCCCGTGGTTGTCAGAGACTGGGGGCGGGGGGAGAGGAGTGGGGAGGGACTCTTTTTGGGTTGATAAAATGTCCTGGAATTAGAAAGTAGTAATGGTTGCACAACCTCGTGAATATACTAAAACCCACAGAATTTTACACTTTAAAAAGGTTAATTTTATGTCACATGAATTATATCTCGATTTTAAATGTTTTAATAAAAAAAGAATGCAGTGATTTACTTATTTCATTGGTGTTACATTTGACTAGCAAATGACCACCTATGTGCATCATTTTTAAATCATCAGGTGGCGAAAGAGCTCAAGCCTTTCCAGTACTCAACCCCTATCTAACATATGAATTACCTCTATATTTGTCCCAAGAGCCAGCCAGCCAGTCGATACAACTCCACTGAAGGGAAACTCACTACCACTGAGGAAGGTCATTTCATTCTGATAGTCTTTAAATGCTGAAAACCCTTTTTCCTTAAATTAAACCCCAAGCTGCCTCCTAGCAATATATACCCTTTGATCATTGTGCCCTCCAAACCACAGTGCTTCAAGTATTTGAAGATTGGTGCTTCCCAATTAGTGTCCCCTGAATATTTATTCCCTGCATCTGTTACACTAATCTTTGAGGAGGCAGGAACATGCTTGTTTTGTCCACTGCTGAGTGGGAGACGGAATGTGAGTTGTTAAAAAATCTTGAGCTCTGAGTCACCAACATGGGTTCAAATCTTAACTCCATCACTGACTGGTTGTGTGACCTTGGGTAGAAGGTGAACGAACCTCTTTAAATCCGATTTTTCACCTGTAAAATGCGAATCATGGTGCCACCTTATTAGGGAGTTTATGGGAATCAAATGAGATAATCTATGTAAAGTGCTTGGATGTGCTTTGATAAAGGTAGCAATCAAAAGCACAGGACACTGAATTATCCAAATATTCCTCTGAAAAAACCCCATAATACTCAAAATTAGTCACTGACTAAACTAATTAACATTTTGATTGCTTCCTTTTACTTTAAAGGCAATTTGGGGAGACTTTTATAGGAAGATACCAAGGTGATTTTAAAACATCTGGGAGTATACAGATGGTAGGGGACAAGGAAGCACTGTCAGTTTTATGTATTTTTCCATTTAGCACATGTCATTTTTGGAAAAAAAAAAATGTACAAAAGTAACTTGTCCCGTATTGTTTCATTACAGATGAACTTTTCCTCATTGGCTTTGTCCCCTGCCTGTGCCTGGTCACCTGCACTACTCTGTCCTCCGGGAGACCATTCAAAGCTAGGAATCATAGATCTCTTCCTTCTGTTCTGGGACACCAGTCACTCAGAGGTCACAACTATATCGCCAGTGGATGCTCTTTACCCCCCTTTTTCTTTTTCAGGAATTGCATCCTCGGCCATCTCTTAAACTTGGAGCTAACCAGGAATAGAATTTCATCTCTCTTGTCACTTTACACTCTTGCTGGGACATTGCATTCAACCCAAAGCTCCCTGGTACCACAAGGACCCAGCTACATCTGAGGCTGCAGCCCAGAGCAGGTTCTAAGAGCTTGGCCTGCACCTCCAACTCCAATCTGGACTTCTGTGGGTAGCTAACAAGGACCTCAACTTCAACATGTGTAAAACTGAAACAACCCCACCTTCTCCTCCCAAACACACACTTCTTCCCTTTGAAGGCTCTATCTTCAAAGACCGACACCAACCCTACACTCCGTTTTCTAGAAAATCAGTAAGTCAAGGTGACTCAGTCTCCCAGACCTCACTCAAACACACTGCTAAAGACTGAGTGATTGGGCTTCCCTGGTGCTGCAGTGGTTAAGAATCCACCTGCCAATGCAGGGGACATGAGTTCGAGCCCTGGGCCAGGAAGATCCCACATGCCACGGAACAACTAAGCCCGTTCACCACAACTACTTAGCCTGCACTCTAGAGCCCGCGAGCCACAGCTACTGAAGCCCGCGGGCCTAGAGGCGGTGCTCTGCAACAAGAGAAGCCACCGCAACGAGAAGCCCACGCACCGTAACAAAGAGTAGCCCCCGCTCACCGCAACTAGAGAAAGATCGCACACAGCAACAAAGACCCAACTCAGCCAAAAATAAATAAAATTAAAAAAAAAAACGACTGAATGATTGTGTCCCTCCCCCCAAATTCATATATTAAATCCTAAAGTCCAATGAGATGGTGTTAGGAGGTGATAAGGTCATGAAGGTGGAGCCCTCGTGAATGGGATTAGTACCCTTATAAAAGGGGCTCCATAGAGCTTCCTTTCCCCCTCTGCCATGTGAGGACACAGCAAAAAGATGGCTGACTAGGAACCAGGAAGCAAGTCTTCACCAGACAACAAATCTGCTGGCACCCTGATTTTGGAGATTCCAGCCTCTAGAACTAAGAAATAAATGTTGTTTAAGCCACCCAGGTTATGGTATTTTTGTCCTAGCAGTCCTAAAGGACCAAGACAACCACCTCTTCTCTTGTGCCCCCAGCTACTGTCCCCGTGAAGACCCTTATCATCACATGCCTGCCTTCATCTCATGACTCTGCCAATCCATCCTCCACACAGCAGACAATGATGTCTCAAATACATAAAGCTGGTGTCACCCCTTCACAGTTGCTTTCACAGCCTATGAGTTGTTCTAGCACTGGAGGCACACCTCTGCCATTGTTCTAGCACTGGAGGTGCACCTCTGCCGTGTGTCACATGTTCTCTCCCCTTGGAATAAACTCTGCCCTCGCTCCATCCTTTGCCAGGTGAAGCCTTACTGATCTTTTTAGATTCAGGTCAAGAATTGCCTCTTTTGCGAAAGTGGTCCCCTTCCTCCCTGGAGCAGGGTTCAATAATCCCATCTGTATTAATTTCCTAGGGCTGCTATTAATAATGTACCACAAACTGGGTGGCTTAGAAGAACAGGAATTTATTCTCTCACAGTTCTAGGGGCTTGACACCTGCTCCCTCTGCAGGCTCTAAAGGAAGACTCCTTCCTTGCCTCTTCCTAACTCCTGCAATCTCTGGTCCTCCCTGGCTTGCAGTTGCATCGTTCCAATTTCTGCCTCTGTCTTCATATGGTATTCTTCCTATATGTCTCCATGTCCAAATTTCCCTTTTCTTATAAGGACACTAGTCCTTGGGTTAGAGTCCAACTAATCCAATATCATCCTAACTTGATTACATCTGCAAAGACCCTATTTCCAAATAAGGTCAAATTCACAGATACTGGGGAGTTAGAGCTTGAACATATTTATTTGGGGGACACATTCAACCTACAACGCCATCTTTGTGCGCCCATTGTATCTGAGCACACCTTAGACATTTAAACAGTAACAATTATTTCCAGCTCTGTCAAACAACAACTTCTCATTTATCTTTTCATTCCAAGCCTCAGGCATACAGTAGTCCCTCTTTAAAAGTTGAATAATCTGCAAAAAGCTTCCTTTCCTTAGTCCTTTTCCATTTCATAGCCTATCTTCCTTGTTACTGTATCACAATTTCTAACACATTCACACATAAACATTATTATGTGATAGTTTCCGGGCATGACTAAACACAGTGTAGTGCTGATACTTGTCATCTGCTTTCTGCATTGGCTTCAAATGGATATATTTCACAATGGACACTATCCAAGTAAATCATGTTTACTAAATTAATGCCGAATATAAAAGTCAGCCAGAAATAATTTTAAAATGTGTCTGCTACTAACAGTTTCACACTCAGCTAAATTTCATAGTGAACACACACATGTGTACAAAGACACCCATACGCATGTTTACAGCACATGTTGATTAACTGGAGAGGGAAGATCCTTGCGTACAAATATGAAGGATAGGAACTCCCACGTGGAAAGAGTTATGCTACTCTATTCAAAAGATGAGAAATCTAAGGGTGTCCTACCAAACCAACAGGAAGCCTTCCAATAGCCTCTCCTAGAACTGCCATTCCCCATTCCTCTGAAGACAAATAGATGAGGGAACTGGTGTTCTTGGTACCCCTTTTTAAATCAACTGCCCCATGCAAAAACACGTACTGCACAAAGACCTACTGTATAGCACAGGGAACTATATTTAATATTTTGTAATAACCTATAAGGGAAGAGAATCTGAAGAATACATAATATACATATATATACATATACATTTATATATATATATATATATGAATAGCTGTGCTGTAGACCTGAAACTAACACGATATTGTAAATCAACTACACCCGAATTTTTAAAAAAGTCCTGCACAAACACTACCTTCTTGTCTGTCCATAAATGAATAAAGGCTGATGAAAGCAGCGATAAAATTCCACCTAATCTACTCTCCACAATTAAGACAAATACAGCATTTCAGGGCGCTTTCCGCTGACACCCGCCTGCAGCCAACTCTGCCTAGTTGGAAAAATCATCGGGAACAACAGATTTAAGTGCCCCAATGCCGAGACAATGGTTCCTCTGAAAGAATCGGGAAACTCGGCGAAGCGGCAGGAAAAGGGAGGAGAGGCATTAGGGTGGACATGTCAGGAAGTGAAAGCCCAGTTTAAAACTCGGCAGAGGAGGGGGTGGGGGGACGCTCCCAGGAACTGGGAAGGAACCAGGGAGGTGATGCCCCCGGGGCTAGCCGGGGTCTCCCAGGGAGGGACTGCTCCCGGCGAGGGCTCCGCCTGCAGCGACCCGGACACTCCGGGCGAAACGTGAAGGCCAGTATCCTTGCAGAAAAAGGGTTGAGGTTCCCCAAAACACGTCTCAACCCGTACCCCAAGGGGCAAAGGAAGCAGGCGAGCTGCTTCCCACCGGGAAAGGAGGGACGGGTGGCAGGTCTGAGGGAGGCCGTTCCCCACCCACGCGCTGAAGGCGCAGCTCCAGCCTCATCCCAGAGCCGAGGCGGCGATCCCACGGCAGGACCAGCGAGCCGGGGACCTCGGATGTACCTTTAACGCCCGCCATGTCTCCCGAGCTGGGGCCGCGGCTGCTTCCGGCTTCTTGCCACGGCCCCTGCCCCCGCCCAGGCCCGGTCCATGGCCGTACCTAGGGTGCCGAGCCCGCCCCGCCACGCAGAGCTCCGCCCCTGCCGAGCCAGATCTCCCCCGTCCCCGCCGCTCGGAACCCCTCCCCTGCCAGTTCCTATAGATCGTCCCCACGGCTCAGCCACCCACAGCCCCGCCCCTGCTGGTCTCCACCCCCGCCACTCTGAACCCGCCCCTGCCGGTCTCGATCGACTGTCCCCCAGGCCCAGCCACTCAGAGCCCCGCCCCTGAGGGTCCCGATCTCCGCCTCCCACCCCCCTGCCCAGCCACCCAGAGCCCCGCCCCTGCCGGTCCGAGCCCGCCCCCGCCACTCAGAGCCCCACCCCGCCCCGCAGAACCCCGCCCCTACCCCGATCGCGCTGATAGGCTTGCCACGCAAATCCTCTTTCTCTCCGTAGCCGCGACTTTGCTCCACTAGCTCTCCTGCTAGGTCCTAAGCATATGCATAATCCCGGAACTGGCCCCACGCTCCTCTCTTCCATCTGTGGCTGGGACCCTGGCTGCGCCGAACCGCTAGGTACGCGGGCCCAGACGCTCCCCCACAGCCCACCAGGACGCGTCCAGCACGGCGCGGAAGGAATCTCTGCGTGAGGGTGGAGAAGATGGAGAGAGGACTCGGAAAGTTACAGTCGGTAGAGGAGGAAGGAATACCCTCTTACTCTGGCATTACATTCTCCAACCCTAGCGTGCGTTTGTGTGCCTGTCTGCGTTTACGTAACTGAGGCTATGGCGGAGGTAGGGATGGGGACACCAGAGAAGAGGCCCCAAAGATCCTGTTTGTCTGGCCTGGCCTTGCTTAATACCAACTTGAGCACTTTTCGAGCACTAGCGTTTTCTTCGTTACACCCTGGTGTATCTATAGAGACAAAAACCAATAAGCTGTTTTGAGTCTGAGGCTTTCATGAACCTTTAAATAAATAGCTATTATTTTTATCCTTGGGGCCTCAAGGTCTGTAGGTAACCAAGGCCAATTTAGACTTCAAAGGGCCATTTCGTATTTTTCTTACAGGAACAGAGAGTTCTCTTGGTGGATACAATCTGCAAGAGAGGTTAAATACTATCTGGTCCAAGCGCTTCATTTTACCTTTACGGAAAGAGGCTCAGAAGGGACAGGACTTGCCTGCTTCACACAGCTCTTTGGAGAAGGTTGGATTATGGGCCACTTATCTCTTATTCTAGCTGAGAAGCCCTCCACCTTATGGTGCTGCGCCTCTTCTATTGCTTTTTCTTAATTTTCAACAGGACTGAAAGATAAAGGGGTTCGTGGGAATCCAGGTTCCCCTGACTGTATAAGTACAAATTCTCACCACCAGCACCTTTCAGGATCCCTGCTCGGTTCCCTTCCCTTTTTCAGAACTGTACACTGAGCATATTATTGTCTCAACACAACGTTTAATTACTTGTGAGTTTATTTTTCCCATTTCTCCTCATAGATGGAAAGTACACTTATTAAAAACTGTGTTGCTCTGAGGGTTGCCAGAGGAGAGGGGCGTGTGAAGTGGGGAAAACAGGTGAAGGGGATTAAGAGGTACAAATTTCAGGTTAGAAGATAAGTTAAGTCATGGGGATGTATACAGCATAGGGAATATAGTCAATAACACTGTACTTTGTATAGTGACAGATGGTAGCTAGACTTATGGTGATCATTACTATGTTGTTCACCTGAAATTAATACAATATTGTAAGTCAATCATACTTCAATTTTAAAAATTAAAAAAAAAACTTTATCACACACCCATGTATGTACCACCAAGACTTAGAAATACAATATTATATATACAGTTGAAGACTCCTGTCATCCCCTCTCAATTCTATTCCACTCCTATCCTCTAAAGAGGTAACTATTCTTAATTTATTTATAATTCCCATACATACTTCTATCCTTTTATAATATAAATGTATAAAAAAATTGTCTTGCACATGATTACATTTTGTATAGATGGCATCATACATGCTTCTATAATTTGTTTTTTCCCTCAACACTGTTTCTGAGATATATTGATAGTGATACAGAAAACTCTAGTTAATTCATTTTAAGTGCTGTGTAACATTCCATTAAATGACTATACCAGAAAACAAACAAACAAAACTGTGTTGCTAATCCCTGGCTCACTGCAGAGCTTGCAGATCCAGAATTACACTGCATTCTTTACTTTGTAGCCGGCAATCTATTCAGGGTCATTGAGAACTTCTCTTTCCCTATGTTGAGTTAAAGCACTCAGGGGAAAGTGCCCACCACCCAAACCCTGGAAGCCTGGGTTTTTGCTCCCGTACTGAAGTACAAAACTGCACTCATGAGAAAGACTCTCCTTAATTGATGATTTTCCATGGGGTCAAATCTCCCATTTCCCCTTCCATTCCCAATCACCCAGCAGGTGTCTAGAAAGCCATATGTAAGGGTTTGCCGAAGCCTTCCATGTCAGCCTGAGGTCAGTCCCGTGGAAGGGAAATGATTTTGGAGAAAAGTGACATTACTTCAGAGGCACAGCTTGGTTTGAGTACTGCCTTGGGCTTAGTAGTTAGAAACTGGAAGATAGTGAGAAGCAAAAAGGTAAGGAGTTTGTCCCAGGGTAATGTCTGGAATCAGAAAAATGCAGAGACATTGTCTCCAACAACTATTCTGCCCATACCAGCTGTCCTTTCCAGTTTACAAAGCACTTAAAAGAGAAAGCCATCTTGCCAGAGGCTTTAACCATCCTGAGAAAATCTACTTTCCTCTTGCCAAATGTTCACTGAAAAACTGTTCTTCTACTTACCCATTCTACATTTCCTCAACAATAAAAGAGGGGCCTTTATTGAGGGGGATTGGTTCAAGATGGCGGAGTAGAAGGGTGTGCGCTCTCTCCCTCTTGTGAGAGCACCAGAATCACAACTAACTGCTGAACAATTATTGACAGGAAGACACTGGAACTCACCAAAAAAGATACCCCACATCCAAATACAAAGAGAAGCCACAATGAGACGGTAGGAGGGGCACAATCACAATAAAATCAAGTCCCATAACCGCTGGGTGGGTGACCCACAAACTGGAGAACAATTATACCACACAAGTCCACCCACTGGAGTGAAGGTTCTGAGCCCCACGTCAGGTTTCTTAACCTGGGGGTCTGGCAACGGGAGGAGAAATTCCAAGAGAATCAGACTTTGAAGGCAGCGGGTTTTGATTGCAGGACTTCAACAGAACTGAGAGAAAAAGAGACTCTACTCTTGGAGGGCACACACAAAGTAGTGTGCGCATCAGGACTCAGGGAAGGAGCAGTGATCCCATAGGAGACTGAACCAGACCCACCTGCTAGTGTTGGAGGGTCTCCTGAAGAGGTGGGGGGCAGCTGCAGCTCACTGCAGGGAAAAAGACACTGGCAGCAGAAGTTCTGGGACATACTCCTTGGTGTGAGCCCTCCCGGAGTCCGCCATAAACCCCATCAAAGAGCCGTAGTCTCCAGTGCTGGCTTGCTTCAAGCCAAACAAAGGGAGAGAACTCAGCCCCACCCATCAGCAGACAAGCGGATTAAAGTTTTACTGAGCTCTTCCCACCAGACCAACACCCAGCTCTACCCACCACCAGTCCTTCCCATCAGGAAGCTTGCACTAGTCTCTTATATAGCCTCAGAGGGCAGATAGCAGAAGCAACAACAACAATCCTGCAGCCTATGGAACAAAAACCACATTCACAGAAAGACAGACAAAATGAAAAGGTAGAGGACTATGTACCAGATGACGGAACAAGATAAAACCCCAGAAAAACAACTAAATGAAGTGGAGTTAGGCAATGTTCCAGGAAAAAGAATTCAGAATAACGATAGTGAAGATGATCCAGGATGTCGGAAAAAGAATGGAGGCAAAGATTGAGAAGATGCAAGAAATGTTTAACAATGACCTAGACGAATTAAAGAACAAACACCTAGAAGAATTAAAGAACAAACAGATGAACAATACAATAACTGAAATGAAAAATACAGTAGAAGGAATCAATAGCAGAATAACTGAGGCAGAAGAACGGATAAGTGACCTGGAAGACAGAATGGTGGAAATCACTGCTGCAGAACAGAATAAAGAAAAGAAATGAAGACAGCCTAAAAGACCTCTGGGACAATATTAAATGCACCAACATTCACATTATAGTGGTCCCAAAAGGAGAAGAGAGAGAGAAAGGACCCAAGAAAATATTTGAAAAGATTATAGTCAAAAACTTCCCTAACATAGGAAAGGAAATAGCTACCCAAGTCCAGGAAGCGCAGAGAGTGCCAGGCAGGATAAACCCAAGTAGAAACACGCCAAGACACATAGTAATCAAACTGACAAAAATTAAAGACAAAGAAAAATTATTAAAAGCAACAAGGGAGGGCTTCCTTGGTGGCGCAGTGGTTAAGATCTGCCTGCCAATGCAGGGGACATGGGTTCGATCCCTGGTACAGGAAGATCCCACATGCCGCGGAGCAACTAAGCCCGTGCACCACAACTACTGAGCCTGCGCTCTAGAGCCCGTGAGCCACAACTACTGAGCCCATGTGCCACAATACAGAAGCCCACGCATCCAGAGCCAGTGCTCTGCAACAAGAGAAGCCACCACAGTGAGAAACCCGCACACTGCAGTGAGGAGTGGCCCCCACTTGCCGCAACTAGAGAAATCCCGCATGCGCAACAAAGACCCAATGCAGCCAAAAATAATTAATTAAAAAAAAAAAGCAACAAGGGAAAAATGACAAATAATATAAAAGGGAACTCCCATAAGCTTAACAGCTGATTTCTCGGCAGCAAATCTACAAGCCAGAAGGGAGTGGCATGATATATTTAAAGTGATGAAAGGGAAGAACCTACAACAAAGATTACCCGGCAAGGATCTCATTCAGATTTGACAGAGAAATCCAAAGTTTTACAGACAAGCAAAAGCTAAGAGAATTCAGCACCACCAAACCAGCTCTACAACAAATGCTAAAGGAACTTCTCAGTGGGAACACAAGAGAAGAAAAGGACCTACAAAAACAAACCCAAAACAACTAAGAAAATGGTAATAA